CGTAAGTATATGCATCATCTTCTACTCCCTTGCTGGTAGCCGCAATGAATGAATTATGAGTTCTTATTCTCCATTTTCTGATCGAACAAATAATGAGGATGGAGAAAAGCTTTTAAGTTTCGCTTTCACGAAAAAAAGAAGGAAGAAGAAGTAAGAAGGCCATGCAGAAGAAGAAGAAGCACAACTCAACCTCATTGACTTTGGAATTTGGTTGGATAATATGAATACATACGCGATTTTGATTTGATTGTGGCCATTTATTTCCCTCAGTCCACAACATCCATCTACACCATATATTAATAAAATATATAATTATTAATTTTCCTTCCATTATTCATTGATTTATTATACATAGCTGGATTACATGTTTCCTTGCATTTATAGCCACTCCTTTTATTTAATTAGTGACCTACTCTACTATACATATTACAGGTTGTTTTATATAAGTTATTATTGAGATTTAGGGTGACAAACAAATCATTTGCTAAACTTTAAGTTCCCGTTGAAGTCTGGATCGATTAAGAAGAGAAATAGTCATTCCATCCATCTTCGTTCAAAATTGCCTGCATCAGCAGTGCATGAAAAAGTTGAATGAACTAATAATTAACGAATCATGGACGATGCTTTTTATATCAAATCCGACAAAAACAAAACCATTAACCCATGTACTCAAACCATAAACAACAATGTATGGATTGATCATGATCAGACTATAGATTTGATTCCGACTAAAAACGGATCATTCGTTGGTTAAATTTTTTGAAAGATTTGATGAGTTTACATGTCACTTATCTAAAATGATTTGGGCGGGAAAATTAAGCACAGATTGCTAGTTGTGTTCAGTAAACAAGAATGTTTAGCGATAAACTCATTTCCAGTACCAAATTTGTCAAACAAACCCTAAAATTTCCAGTGAACCATTATGTATTCCCCTAACTGGGATCTTCCCTCTGATTGGGCCTTGTTTATACAATCAAATTTCCCCCCTTTTTTTCTAGCTTATCTCCATCAGCTGGATTGGCGGTTCATATTATACAAATTATAAAACCCTATACAATACAAGATACAAGAAGATACACCAAATACATATTATTTATTCTTATGGGTTGTTGTGGCCAAGTAATTATAACAAAATCAAAGTATTCAATCATAAGCTTTAGGGATCACTACCCGACAAGACCAATAATAGGACGAAGAAGAAATGGGTTTTCTTTCTTTTCTCTAAAAGCTTTAAGGCACCAGAGGCCAAAACAGAAGAACTATCATGGTATGAAAGCAAAGGACATATGGAAATAGTGGGTCTGAAAATTTGTGCTCCTTCCACTAATGGAGACGAAAGCTAGAAAGTCTCAAGTTGGAAGGATATTGGAATTGGTAAGGAAGGAAGAAGAGCTTTTTGGATGGCCGGAAAGTGAGAAAAACAAGAAGGAAGCTTTAAATTCTTCTAAGCAAATAGCTATCATAAGCAATCATGCTATCCAAAAAAAAAAAAAAGAAGGAGAAAAGGGTTTTATTAATTGTTTGAAAAGAAGGTAATTATGCAAGGACTAATTATGGCTAACTTTTTAGCGATTTGGTCATAAGAGATGCACCTTTCTTGGTTCAATGATGAGGAGTGAGGACTCTTTTGTGGCGGTGGACTTAATCGATGTTGAAGTAATAAATCGAATTATAAGTGCATTCGATCAGGTCGATTTTCATTTGTGATCGTCATTTCTCTAGATCGGGAACTGAACAATATGATATGCAATCTGATTTATCGTACTATATAGTTTAACCAAATAAGGTTCTAAAGAGTATACGATTGTTTGAAAAATACAACTATCAAATTTTATCAATATAATAAATGGAAAAAATGTAAGAGCACGTAACACAAATCTAGTAAAAAAAAGAAAAGCAAAAAAAATACGCAATATATCTGCATGGATGACGAACTCCATTTTACGAACATGTCCCTTTCCCGTTTTGCTTAACAATTTAAACAACATATTATTATTTTAATTAATCTGCAATTAACCAGATCATTAAGTAAAGTAAACCGCAATTGATTAGCACACGTGTCCCTTGTTTGTTCTTCCAAAAATAGTCGGGGGCCATTAGAGCGGGGGCACCATATTTCACTTCGTCCCCCGAAATTGATAAATTAATAAATAATGGATGGGTCTCAAACTTCAACAAAATGTTGAAATTCTAAACAAAATATTATTTCTACCAAAAATATATAAATTAAAAAAAATACTAAATCGGACCATCAAGAAGCTGCCAAGTCTAGCAAAATCTGACGTCCAATGGCTGCTCGATTTTGCTGCACGAAATTTTCCTCTCGCCTCCATCTTTTTTTGAAACAGAACCAGAAGCTCGCCTCCATCTTTCCATCAACAAGTCCGCGCTATAGTATATAATTATGGGGTTAATATCATTTATTTACTAATTGTCTAACTAATTCAAATCAAACTACAAACGTAGCATGGATTAGGGATTTTGTTGCCGTCACTGCAAGGATTTGTCTTAATCTTACTCTTGGATCAACCCTATCATCTAAAATATTAATTAATAATACATATCATTATTTTACATTTAACAGAACATACCAAGCTTTTGTAAAGAATGTAATCCCAGTGACAATATCTTAGGGTTTCAATCTTAAGGTGTTGAAATTTGAATCATATATAGGATGATTATATACGTGCACTTCTCAATTTCATCCATCAACACGTAGTTTCATTTGGACTATCCATTACCGGATCCGAAGTTTATCTCCACAGAACTCGTACTATGATGATGAAAGTTGTACCTTAATAATGTCTTAAGCATCTATGATATACAGTAATAGGTTTAATTAAGTTGTCAATTCTGTAGTAGCTAGCTTTACATATATAGTGCAATAATTATAAAAATAATCCATTTTGTTTTCTTCGAGCTTCCATTCCATTAATAAGTTCGTTTTGTTTCCCATTGTAACAAGAAAAGGGATTGTTATTATAGACATATACACATATGGTCCTGTCGTTGATATACTTAAATAAGTGGCTCAACACAACTGCATCAGTTTCTTGACTTACAAATAGTGCACAATGAATTAATTAATAATCACAAACCAAATAATCATACATAATATTTTTTTTAAAAAAATCAATGATGCCATCGCTAAGTTGCTCTCCCTAATATTCCATATGAGATTAAAATGTTCGAACTCATGTGTATTTACATAGAGTTTCTTCATGCAAATTTGTGCCTAAATCATTTAGTTACCCGTGCTAATTCGAAATCTAACGACTTTTCGATCGGGAACTTCAAATATGCGTGCGCGTCTATATGGAATCAATTCGTCTCATCAATAACCCACAAGTTATTGGGAGATAGCAATCTATATGCAACACCATTTATAAGTAATTATAACATTAAAATACATACGATTTGTGGGAATCAACTGTATATATGCTTAATTAGGGATCAAGGAAAAGATTGCCCACACAATTAACTAGATCCTAGTTAGATTAATTAACCATTTTGGGAATGATCAGAGAGGAAATTAAGATCGATAATGAGGTGTCCAAATCCATGGGAGAGTAGTTCAGTGATCGATCGAGTTGTTGCTTGCAAGATTGGGTTTACCCAAAAGGGGACTTGGCTTGGCTGTGGCTACGTGTACGTGCATTATACATAGTTGACTTGGCTTATGTCCACAATTAAGACGACAACAACAACAATATTAATTAAGTTATTAACTGTGAGAGTGGTTCTCCAATCGGTTGCTTAAAAACTGGCATTGGGTAAGCTAATATAGTTAGGGTTTCGTGTTCTTCAGTGTTACTGAAATTTGTTGTTGGTGTTCGTAAACGACATTGTTGTTGATTGTATGGCTGTGATTGGCTGATCGAGAAGCTACATTTGTTTGCGACCAAGCTGATGACCAACCACCGGGTTATTAATGTAAGGACGTGGTTAAGATTTACACGTGAATCTCGTCCAACAACTCGAGTTATTGGGAATAACTGATTTTGTGACGTGGTATATTAGAGTTTGTCTCTGGTTTGTTCCTGATGATGAGGTTATTTGTGTTCAATTCCTCGTGAGCCTCGGTGTTAATCGTTGTCTTAAAAGCATATGATATGGCATGTCTGTGTTATTTTCGAGGTTCATAAGTTGGCTTTCGTTTACGAGATTTCTAAGGAAGTGATTAAAATTCATATATGAGCTTTTTTCAACAAGCCGAGTTATTGGGACCAGTTGGTTTATGACGATTTATCTTTTTATTATATTGATTTTTAATGAAAGCCATGCACGTATATATGTACATTATTTTGTTTATAATTTGCTGGTGTGCACGTAGTCCATTTTCCAACTAAACTATAGATATTGTATTCATGAAATTGATTACACGAAGGAGGGGTTCACATGCTGGAAGATGTGAGTCACCCATCGAGAACTTTCCATGTAATGCATTAAATTAGTGTTGATATTATTGAAGAACATAAAAGCTAGGGTTGGAGACTTTAACTCCACACAATGCATGATTGCCAAATATGGTTGGTTGGGTGGAAAAATAATTTCTAGTGCTAAAAACTACTCACCAAGTTTGAAACTAGCTAGCTCAACTCGAATTGTATGAGTTATTTCAAATGAATCGCGAAACACTCTAACTGATTAATCGACTTCTAACAATACATGAATCGATTGTCGCACGTGACATATCGATCGTCGTCGCAATCTCACAAATCCAATTTCGGAGAGAAAGATTTCGTCGATAAATCATCAGTAAGTCGAATGAGTCACTTATATGTTTGTCGAATATTCATGAGACTCGGGATAAACTAGTTAACGAGCTTGGTAGTGACTGCCATTACGTGGAAGGAGCTTGTGTGTTACTAGCTATACGTGGCGAGATGACAGTGCATATACAACGTGAAAAGCTGGAGTCAATTCACATGCATGCAGATGAGGTGTGAAATTAATTGTTGGGCTTTGCCCATTTATTGTGACTGCATAAAGAATAGTTGGCACGTGAATGTTTGCTACTCTTTTGGAACTTGGGCCCTCAAATGAGACCGTCGGGCGGGCCCATAATGAGACTCAATGTCACTGAATAAAGCCCATACCTTTGGGCCAGACCCTCGTTCAAAAGATCTTTATTTGGAGCCCATACGATATCTGTAAAACTTGATCCCCTAATGATCTCATCTTATTCAACTCGAACCAAAGTAAACAACAAAATTAAGGGAAGAATGCAATTTTCAGTGACTAGGAATGAGAAATTTATGCAGTAGTTTGGGCAGAATGATAACCCCAACTCAAAAAGAACGGTAAGAGCATCCAAATACTGGCACTCCAATTTTTCCGGCCACGCCATTAAGGAAATTCACTGAGAAGAAAAGGTTCATCGTTGCTTTTCAGCAGCTTCACTCAAACAGTTGAGGAACTGAAAGAGATCATCTCCAGGATCTGATCATGAATCTTGCCGTTGGTCACAAGGATTCCCCCAGGAGGATATATGATCCTTCTCTCCACTTGATCCGCCGCGAGGTCAAGCTCGCCCCCTTCCCAGTCAGTCACCTAACAATACAATTACAAAGAATCAGTATTTCATAATGGAAAAAAAAAGTAACCAATGGAGATATCTTCAACAAACGATGGCAAAGACCAGCTTAGGCTGATCAAGAAAGTAAAGGCTGGAGCAACGTACCCTGCCTCCAGCTTCATGGACGCATAACATACCAACAGCATGATCCCAAGCCTGTATTATCAGCGAGGAAGTACGGTTGGAAGTATTCAAGCTAGTTCGTTGTGTCTTGAGAGAAAGCAATACGTACCTTGATAGCTGTGTCTCTCTGAGCTTGAATGTACATCGAAGCCCTGCCTGAGGCCACCATTAAATACTTGCACAAACTGCACGCCAGGAAGAGCGAATAAGGTGAACAGAAGGCATTCTAAGAATCAGGGGTCACTTACAGCAAACTGTTACACAGAACTTTGCAGTCACTGAGGAATTATGTAGTTAACTTTGGTTTTAAAAAGAACTTGTCATTGTGATTTGGTATTACATTACACAAAAGTCACAATGTCTGGTTTTTTGTCTAAATTGTTCATATCGGTGAGTTAGTTCACCAAATTAAATAATAATGATACTTAAAAGGACAATATGATTGAGCAGCATTCTATGCTACTTTGTTGTTATTAATTTATGGGAGTTGGCATGGTAATTTGACTAATTTGAATTGAAGACCTGAACAACATTAAGTGACTATTATGTCAGTTTTCCAAACTTTAGTAACAGTATTTGACCTGACGAATCATTCTTGTATAGGGCCACACGGGCACTTAACGGTTTTACTCCATATCAATTATAGATTCTGTCTAAACCCACATGAAGCTAGTAATACAAGGCCACCTACGGTGCAAACGTTACTACACAATTACGTGGAGAGCCAAGACTAAGAGATGAAGATCCTGATGAGGCAAAGAACTAGCAAAATGAACGAAACTATCACTTTAAATAGGACAATCACCTTCCGCAGCATGTAGTTAAAAGATGGATTTCATTGTCACCAAGACTATCTGCATCATTCTTTGCAGTGAATGATCTCGATAGAGGCAAAGAATCCCAACTCTGACTCTCAGGAATGCAGAATCGAGCTTCTGGAACTACTGAACATCCATCGACCAAGCATCTACTCCAATCATTGGACACTTGTAATGTCTTGTTCCATGTACCATGGCCAGTATGAGCAATCATCACGGACCCTAGGCTGTCGCCAGAGTTCTGCCAGTTTGGACAACCCATAACACCTAGCACGATCTCACCTTCGACTACAAGAGCCAAACCCACCTGAAAAGTTCACAGCTTTATGATTATGATCTTGGACATGCTGCTACTTACTTCTTAGACAATTCTATAGTGAAATTCACAGTTAAAAAAACTAGCTAAGCTATGCCAAACACCTAGCACTACAACTTATACCACATACAAGGCGCCACATCCTTTGAGAAACCCTTTGGTGCCATCGATAGGATCCAGGATCTGCAGCCACAGCAATACAAACAAATCAAGTTTACCAAATGTAGTTAAAGTTCCACCTTTCTGACTTACAGAAACATACCCAATATGTAGCTGGGGACTTTCCATAGAGATAAGCAGCACTTCCCCCTCTATCAATCGCCTCGAGAACAACATCGTCACTCAAAGGTTCACTAGAGCTCCTCTTATCATTAACCACACTCACAACAGAATCCACCAGGTTATTAGCACGCACAAAGCCGGAATCCTCTTCAGCAACCAAGGGAATCGACGGGAACAACTTGCCCAACTCTGGCACCCAAAATCGCAATCCAAGAAAGCTATATAAGAACTACTACCGTAGCCACGCATGGCGTCTCGGGATTGAATTTGAAAGATAGTGTGAGCTTACCAAGGCTGATTAATGCCTGAACTCCAAAATCCGCAATTGTAACTGGGGTATTGTCTTTCTTCTCCACAATCCCTCCATCGCTGGAAAGCAAAGAGCTTTGCACCTGCCCAATACCGTCACCGTTCCCTGTGTCAAAATTTTCCCAGGAACCAAACAAGAGTGTAAAATTGAAAAAAGACAACAAATGGGGGAAGCAGTTTACATCGACACAAATCCGACAAGCGCGCTCAACAATGCCCACTGCAGCTTCGAGTTCTCTGTGATACTTAGCCTTCTGGGTCGGAAAGGGAAGGCTGGCCCTGAAAACAAAATGCAAGAGCGGAAAAAAACAGAAGAAGAACTAAGCCCCAATTTGAAACCCTAGAAAATAGAAATGGGGTCAAGAGAAGAAGATTTTAAAGTGGAAAGACCTTACAGGGAAGACTCGCCGACGGAGGGAGGCGATGGAATGAGCGGGGAAGCGGCGGCGGGATGACGTGGCGGGGGAGAAATGGATGGTGTGTACTAAACTCATGGCGGGAAGTTGGAGCGGTTAACGGCTGAGGCGCGGCGGCTGTTTTGAGAGTTCGGCCGGCAAAGGAATGGGTGCCAGCCAACTGGCGGCGATGTGGTAGTTGCCGTGAAGATGGTAAAGTTTGGATTTGGTCCACGGCAGAAATGGGCCTGTCTCTTTTATCGCGATTCACAGTATTCATTCACATGGGCCAAAAGCCCAAACCATACCCATTTTTAATCAAACTTGTCCTCTTTTTCCAAATCAAACTTTCTCAGTTATCCAAAACAAACAACAACGATATGCACATTTTTAACCATCTATCTTGCAGCATCGATTTTCCAATCCTAGCATGCAGCAATATATAACAGCAATCAACGCTAAACCCATGAACTAATAACAGACTTGGCAAAGTTTCGCCATCTCCACCCGCATATTTCGACTCGCACGTTGACATGTCAGATTTCGTCGTTATAATTGTTACATGTGTTTTCCAAAAATGGGCCTTATGGAACTTGGCAGGTTGTTTCCCGAACAATCAATAAGCACCTGCGGACTAAATTTAACTTTCTGCTAATCCTATATATGCATTTTCTCTCTAGATTTTCGGTCGCAACACAAAAAAAAAACATTAATCATAAGAAACCATTTATCTTATATTCAAGAATCATTCATCACATTAATTGTATATTGAGAGGCGATTTCTTTGTTCTTTGTTCTTTCTATTGCATGGATAAGAGTTCGAGGTCTATTGGAGGAGGAATGCAAGGGATCTGCAAAGATCCCGCGACCAAGTCTTTGAAAAATCCCTCATCCTCCTCCTTCTCCTCCTCCTTTTTAAAGAATACAAGGAATCTCTCAAGCGTTACGGCTACCAGCAACAACATGATGCTGAAAGAACACAATAAGATCAAGCAGGCGGAGGAGTCTCTTAGAACCATCATGTACTTAAGCTGCTGGGCTCCCACTTGAGTGATTGACGACGACCATGCACGTTGATCAAGCAAATTAAAGCGGGGCCAGCGATGATGGACCGAGAAATATGTGTCAACTTCACCTTCTTGTAATCGGGTTGTAAACTGTAATTTGTAAACCATTTTGTGCCAATCAATATACATACATGTGATTACATTACTTGCATGCAATGAAGATAAGAATTAAGATGGAGGATGAACCCCGAATCCTTTTCCCTTTTCATACATGAATCAACCATGAACCCGATATCTTAATTTATAATCGGAACTAGCTAGCACACATAAACCCTATATCATGTTGATCGTGCTTCGTAATGTTAATCGGAACCAGATTTATCAGAAACACCATTCGTATCAATTCGACAACTTTGACATCAACACGAGCCCATGTATATAATTCTGTTTATCTTCTATGTCAAATCGTCATTAACTAAGTCAATTAACAACATCCAATCCAATCTGCCAACTAATAACGAATCCCCCCGCAACGTCAGCTTCGACGTCAGATTCGGTCGTACTATGCTTATCCAATAACACGGTTTCCATTTTCCCACCCTTACTTAATCTCCCCGGCCGCAAGCCGCCTGCCTTGTTCTCCAAGCTTCCTTGTCCTCTCTCTATATATACACCCGTTCATTTCTGCTTATAAATCTTCCCAAATCTCGTTCACAAACAAAGGATTTCAATTCCAACAAACCCAATCCTCCCCTTTTTTTTTTTGCCGCCAAGTGTTTTTTTTCCCCCTGGGTGGGGCAACAATGTGTTCGAGAACGTTCTTGGGAAGAGCCATTCAAGGAACTATTAGCAAAGATTCCGCCGCCAAGCCGCTGAAAGATTCTGCCGGTGGCAGCTCTTCTTCTACTCCTTCGTCTTCGTCGAGGAATTTGTCCAGCGCCGCCGGTTGCAAGCCGGCGAGCAATTTGAAGAGCGAAAAGGCGGAAGAGTCTCTAAGAACAGTCATGTACTTGAGTTGTTGGGCTCCTAATTGATTGATCGTCACCGCCACTACGTGGCATGTGTAAATTAATTTTTGGACGTTTGTGTTGTAAAACTGTAAAAATTGTAAAAAGTTCATCATTTCTATTAGATGGTTGAGTTGGGTTGGGTTGGGATTACTAATTGGGGTTTCCCTAAGTACCCATCTAATGATCATTGAAGGATGTTGATGCATCATGATCCCCTACTAATCCTTGTTCAAACACACTCTTTGCTAGCTTTTCATATTCAAAAAAGTACCAATCCCATCAGAGTTCATTGCGTTTCAGATCCGCCAGTTTGTGTCTTCTTGTATTTATAAGATCACGTTATAAGTTGTAACTAATAGGATTAAAAAAATTAAAGTATAAATAACGAATATCGAAAATTTTCACTTTGTATAGAAAGAAATCGGTTATGCATGCATGTCATGTTGATTATGAATTATCGCACCCTTATACCATAAAGTCATGGAAAACATGGCAAATAGACTGCAAAACTCTAAATGAAAAAAATTGTATGATTGAGTCATGGATGACGCCTCATTTGAAACATCTTACTCCAAAATCCAATTATGCAAATACTTAGGAAGGTATCATTATGCAGTCCAGGCCCAGCCCAGTAACATTACTTCAAATGGATCCATCCACAAGCGAAATCCAAGCCCAATTAAGTGGCTGACCAGATCTGGTAAAACAAAGAAAGGCCCACTTTACAAAACACCGTTCTACAACTCATCTCAACTTCTCAACCACACACACACACAAGAAACAGAGACGATAACCTTCCCGCTTCCAAATTCCAATCCACTCTTCCGTCGATTCCGCCATTGAAATCTCAACGAAGAGAAAGCCATGATCTTGTTGAGACCCAATTACAACAACATCAATCTCCGCCGCCGCCCGCCGTTCTTGTCGGACTCGGGTAATCACAATCTCCAAGCTTCCCGGGCGAGGCAAATCGGGCTCCCGCCGAGCAGGCGAAGTCGGCCGGCGCTGACGAAATGCGGCGGCGGAGCAGCGGAGGGGCCGCGGCGGAGGAGCTTCCTGAGCCTGGAGGAAGCTGGGCTGGTGGAAATGTCCGGGCTCAGCTCCCACGAGCGGTTCCTCTGCCGTTTAACGGTTCGTAATTTTTCAAGTTCTTCGTTTCAGGCGCCCTTAAATTAATTACTCCGACCGTAATTAGTAATTACTAAATTCTCGTGGGGATTTGTTTCTGGGTTTATTCTTTTTGGGTGTTTTGAATGAACAGATATCTTCGTTGAACCTTCTGAAAGTGATATCGGAGCAAGAAGGGTGCGCCATTGAGGAGCTGAATGCAGGGAAAGTATGCGACTGGTTCTTGAAGGACAAGCTGAAACGCGAACAGAACATTGATTCTGCAGTCCTTCAGTGGGACGATTCTGAGTTCCCAATCTAATAAATCCTTATTTTCTTTTTTACTTTGTCACTTCCTTGTATGTCCATTACTTTGTTACATTACCCATGCTGCTGCTAAGGAACTGAAAGTCAATTGTCCTAATTAAGAGTGCGTCAGAAGATAAAACGAACTTGAGAACGAAGGGAGCTCCAATGAACAATAATATGAAGTCGTAACCTTAACCCTTCTCCTCGAGATGGATCCCAACATCCAACTGCAACTGCAATTTCCACTAGGGTGCTCTGCAGTACAAACAAGTAGGCAGCATCCAACCCACAACAATCCATAAGATAAAACCGCAAACTCAAAGAGGTATGTAATGACATATTTCAGTGAGATGAGATTTAGATTAATCGAGAACGTTATTTATATTATAAACGACATAGGAATGTATCTCTGATTATATAAAAGAGGTATGTATCTAATATCTTTCTTCGTTGTTAGACTCGACTTGACTTTGTTTCTCCAACCAAAAACTTTGTACAACTAATTTTTCAGTTATGCGTTGATAAATTATGATTATTGTTGATATGATCACAATAGGATCAATCAGGAGGGTCCAATTGTTTGTCCGAGAAGGAACCTCAACCATGGCAAAACACCCTGAAAATTGTCCAAGTCATTTGGCCGTCTTGAGATACCAGGTTTGCACGTCTAAAACTTTCGATTGGCTTAGTGAAAATGCGAGCTTAAGGTCCTGGGTTGAAGATGAAGACTTCCTCTTGTCATTGATGTGCTTTGGAGCTCAAGTGGAAACCAAGAAGGGTGGGTTTCAGAGCGATCAAGTTGCTACTTCAACACGGAAGAAATCGCTGGAAAATTCTAAGTGTGGAAGCAAGCTCGGGAAGGGGTTTTGGAAGCTTCGTTCGAAGGGTTGGAAGGAGAGTCGAGATTCAACAATGACATCTCACGAAAGTACGCATTTTCTACTACAACAAAGAGGAATTGGTTGATCGAACTGTTGCTTGGAAGGGCTCGAACAAAGGGGCTGAAGATCGAGTTGACGCTGGAAATGGTGACTGAAGGAACAAGGAATCCGAGTCCTATTCAGATTCGGATTAGTGACCAGTTTAATTTGTTTACCTTTTGTGAGTTGAATTCGTTTTCCTTTTGAGTTGTAGCTAGTTTAGGATGTTGATTACTTGCTTTGTAAGTTTCGTAGTCTATTTAAACTCAAGAATGCTTTGTAAAAGGGAGATGATGATTGCATGAAGAAAACCGAGAGGTTCGAGTTCCATAGCAACTTGTTCGTGGAATTTGGGGATCATCCTAGGAGCTTCTAGGCTCGATCTTGAACTTGTATCAATTAGGTAGTCACCCTAATTGTGGCCGAGTAGCAACTTGACACTCTTCGAGCTTCTTTCCCTTCGTGAAAGCTGCACGAAAGTCCTATCTCCATCCAATTTCAAAACCCTGTCTTGGTGTTCTTTGAATTCAGGGTTCGAGTGAGGTTTGGCTGAGCAATTCCTATCCCAATCACCCACCTAGGGTGTTGTCAATTGTGGTGACCCTGATTTGAATGAACTTGCAATTCAAGTGATCCAAAACATAAGTAGAATAAAAAAAACATAAGTAGAATCAATAGTATTTCATATTTTTGCATCTTAATCTACTATTGAATTTGAATTCTTTATCAATTAGATCGAGACAGATCAAATCTGTGAAATCCACCACACCATGAGTCCATGACCACTACCACCTTACCCACTTCCCTTCTTCGTTTTTCACATCAATCCAAAACGGATTTACCCAATTAGTCAAAATTAATCCATTAATTAAACTTTGGCATAAGAACTTAAAATAATCACATCAACTAATCCACCACTCATTCAACACGCTTTACTACACAAATCAACGAAAAGTCTACACTACGGGGAAAAAACGGCAAAACCCTCGTTGTTAG